ACAGTATTAAAAATAGTAGCAGTAGAAAACACAGGATTTAATCATTGTATTCGTAAACCAATATATTAGTTAGTTAACTGTAGATGTTGCTGTTTCCTCACAGGTATGATCTCACAGTCACCGTAATGAGACATCTCATTATCACTGGTGGATGCAAAACAGACGGATTGTAGACAGACAGACGTGAACACGCGCAGGTTCCCGGACACACGCACCAACGCATGCATGTAAGCATATAGGCAGTAAGATTTAGATAATTGGAAAGAATTAAGAAACCGTGAAAGCAGCGTGCAAGAAACGGTAGAAGCTAGAGAGACAGACTGATAGATAGAGAGCGTGAGAAACAGACAAAAAGGTAGAAAGGTAGAGAGACAGATAGATAGATAGAGAACGTGAGAAACAGAAACAAAGATAGAAATGTAGAGAGGCAAACTGATAGATAGAGAGGCTGACAGATGTTACAGATCTATTGTTAGTTATTGTTCATTACCAAAAATATAAGCTTATTTACAGAAGATGTTTCTTGTGGTAGGTAGGATCCTGCAGCCACTGTATGGAGGTATCATGACCACTGTTGGATGTAGAACGCAGCCACTGGAGGACGACAATGAAGCTATATGTGGTTGGATAATCGGTAATGTCAGATAATGTGGAAGAGGCGGTAAGAGTGAAACAAGTTTCAGTAAACGTGTGAAATCTGGTTCATTATTAACTATTCTGCAGAATAATACGGTACGGAACTATTGTTAGCTATTGTTTAAAAAGGGATTGCTACGTCAATGGCGGTATGTGACGCATTGTCAAACGGCATGATATTTGTAAAATTTGTATGTATGTGTGCGCAGTACAACTCTGTACGGTACATGTATATGTCCTGCATATATCACATTATATCGATTGGCTGTCGAATAAAACCGAGTGTCAGATGGCTAATGATCATCGATAATTGAGACTGGAGGATGAACCAGTCGTAGAAGAAAGCAGTAAATAAACGGTTCACTATGTTATGACTTCTGGTTATTTATAAACAAATACGACACAACACGCACACGTGCACGTAGCAATGGAATAATTTACAATAACAGTTAGTCTATGTAAAAGCAAATCGTTAGCATATAACATCGTAGATCAGTGGTCACAATTGACTGCATTGAAATTATCATATAATCATTTTTGATAGCTTACACACACACACCAAGACAAACACAAATTGACCCGCGCGCCCCCCCCCCCCCCCCCCCCC